TTTTGGTTATTGGAATTTATCCCTATACACAAATCCTATATATATATATATATATATATATATATATATATATGAAATAATATAATTTTTTATATATCCAGAAATTACTGGCCGCAATATATATGACAAAGTGGAAAAGTTTTCGTGCGGTACGTTTCGTTCTATAGGAATTCACTAGAATTCAGCGCGCGAACGAGAGATGCTGGGAATTTAATTTTTTTTTTTTTTTTTTTTGTATAAAAACTACTCAGATCAAAGAAGAAACAATTCGCTAAGACGAAAATGTTTAAAGAGTTCTTTGATTGCAAGCTCATCCACAGTAATTTTGTGTCCTGGAACTTGCAATATTTCTCCAGTCCTGGCAGATCTTTTATTAGGACTATTTGGGATATACATCTAAATGAAATGTGCTAGATTAGATAAAAATAAATAAATAAAATAAAATAAAGGTTGGCGTCACTCTAGTGTTATATCTTTGCACCTACATGTTTTTTTATTATTATTATTATTATTCATCAACGAACTTCCCCCCTAGGTATTCATACTGAGGACACGACAATTTATTCTTGTCTTACTAGAATTACATCGATACGCCCGGCAAATTAAAACTGGCATGTACTCTCGAAAATGACCACCACACTAAAGACTTTTCATTTTCTTTCACTTCAAGTAATCTCTTTAGTCTTAGCGACATTATCGCCTTTAGGCGAAATGAAAAACAAATAAAATGAATAATATTGATTCCGTCAGTATCTCTCTATATTTCTGATATGAGGTATTATGTACACTATTTACATTATTTGGACTATTGTCCTCATCTTTGTTGCCATATTTATCCGATCTTTCAGTATCTGTCTATAATTCTGAGATGAGGTATTATCTACACTATTTACATTATTTGGACTATTGTCCTCATCTTTGTTGTCATATTTATCCGATCCTTCAGTATCTGTCTATATTTCTGAGATGAGGTATTATGTACACTATTTACATTATTTGGACTATTGTCCTCATCTTTGTTGCCATATTTATCCGATCCTTCAGTATCTGTCTATATTTCTGAGATGAGGTATTATCTACACTATTTACATTATTTGGACTATTGTTCTCATCTTTGTTGCCATATTTATCCGATCCTTCAGTATCTGTCTATATTTATGAGATGAGTTATTATGTACACCATTTACATTATTCAGACTATAGTCCCCATCTTTGTTACCATATTTATCCGATCCTTCAGTATCTGTCAATATTTCTGAGATGAGGTATTATGTACACCATTTATATTATTCAGACTATAGTCCCCATCTTTGTTACCATATTTATCCGATCCTTCAGTATCTGTCTATATTTCTGAGATGAGGTGTTATGTACATTATTTACATTATTCGGACTATTGTCCTCATCTTTGTCGCCATATTTATCACAACGTTTCGGCCGTTGTACGCTCCGGCCTTCTTTCAACCACCTGAAGAGGGCAGTAGCCTATAACGTCCGAAACGCTGTAAGAAATGTGGCGACAAAGATGTGAACAATAGTCCGAATAATGTAAATAATATATTGATTCCGTGTTCTGAAAGATTTTCAGTGGAGTGTATATTCTGACAACAGAATGAAACAGTTGAAATATTTCCTGTCCTTTTTAGCGCTTAGTAATTTTGGCTTAGTTGTTATCATTCCTAAGCCCTGTTTTGCCATCCATTTACTCATGCTCTCTTGGTAGGTTGTACGCTGTTTTCCTCTGTTCCCGGGCCTTCACTATGTCCCATGGGTGTCAAATTTGCCAACCGTTCTTTCTTCATTATATGACCTAGAATTTTCAATGGTCTATATATGATGTTAAGCATAAGTGTTCTTTTCTTTTCCATTTTCTCTAAAACTTCATCGTTGCTTTGATGTTCAGTCCATGTTATTCTCAGCATCCTTCTGTAGAACCATATTTCTATCGCCTTACGCTTCATCTTCATCTGTGCGGAGATTATCCGGCATTCACTGCCATATACGAGGATACATATTACATAACACTTCAGTACACTTTATTTTGTTTCTAACGAAATTTTCCTGTTTCTTAATATTGTGCATAGCTTTAGGAAGGCATCTTTCGTTATCCTAATGTGTCTTTGGATTTCGGTATCACACTTTCTGGGCTCTGTTAAAACATTTTCCAGATATTTAAATTCTTTTGTTTGATTTTGGCATCCCCAATTTGTAAATTTCATGTTGGGCTGTTCCCTTTTGCTGACAACCATGCATTTTGCATTGCAGTTTCCTTTCACTCTAGAAATTTCGAGATTCTCAAAACTTTCAAAGTTACAGTGACGCCAAAACTGATGCTTCGGGGGAATCTTTAATTTCTTTGCCGTTGAAAGAAACGGTCAAATAAATAAATAAATAAATAAATCACCTTCAAGAATAAATTTGTTTGAAAACATTCTTACTAATTTAATTACTATCGTCCATTCGGTTCTAATTTCGTATTCCAGAAGAAGTGGAGAGAGTATGCGGACAATAGATCGAAACAGTTGAAATATCGATCTTTTTAAAAACTACAATTTAAAAATTTAACTTTTGGATCTGATAATCTTCAGGATCGGATCAGAAGAGGGCATGGGTTGTTAATCCCTATTTGTCGTAAAGTAAGACCGTAGAAAATCATGTTGCATGACCAGCGCTCTCTGAGGAAAAAAATCTTCCGGTTCTTTAAAATCTCTCCTCCGTTTGGAAAATCATTATTGCAATTTTGATCTTCGTTATAATCGTGTTTCTTACAATCTATTTCCCAACTTATATTCTTTAGTCCCACAAGTTCGAGCCATTACAGACAGGATCCGTCTTAATCTGCTCGCCTAGATGATTTTCCCACATTCCTCGCCGTATTCCATTTGCAGGGAGGAAGTTCCACTCAGACAAATTGTTTCTAATAATAATTTCCCCAGATTCTACAAACATAATCTCATCAAGTCTAAGATCAATCGCTTCATATTCTCCATATCCTCATAATACGTTTCCACCGAGTCTAAAGAATTCAGCCTTCCTTGCTATTAACCCATATCTGGAGGAGAAGAAAGGGATTCCTACTTTTCCTAAGCGTAAGTAAGCCCAATTATTTAAGAGTTCCGACCCTGAACATTGCAAGTGATTGTGTATCTAATTGATTTGACGCCTTACCAAAGACAATTTAATTCAAGAGAATAGCAACTGTTTTTCTCTTCGGCCTTCTTAGATATTTAGAAATATAACACTTTTCAGCTTTGCTACCTTTTTTTTTATTTACAAAACTCGAGTCGCAAAAGACAGATTTCGAGATCTGAAATGAAGACACAATCAAAGTTCCAATTTGAACAATCACCTTCTATTTGAATAAATGCCATATTTCACCGATCTCGTAGACATATCCGTAATTTATCAAACCTAATTTTAGTGAAACGTACTAAACATCTTTCTCTATAATTAGGTATAGACAATCAAAACCGTTGAATATTCTAGTCTCGAAAATACAGCGCCAATTTGCAGGATTAATTCTAGTAAAAGTCTGTTACTTTCATCTCCATCTTTGTAAAATTCCTGAGAACCATTACTTTAAAACCTCGTCTCTGCGATATTCTTGAAAACATTATTTAAACAGCTTCGTCTCTTTGGAATAAAACTAGTTTAAAATAAACTGATTTTACCAGCTAAAATAACACTCAGCCTGAGAAAATATCGTCAGGTAATGGAAGAAGAATTGATAAAATATTCCAATTTTCGGTAATTAGTGGTTTGTCGGGATTTTAAATTGGCTTCAGCAGAGTTGAGAAAATCTATAGAGAGTGAATAAAATTGCTTTTGACAAAAAGTCCTAAGTGGATTTGCGAGGAGGATGGGTATTTTTTGATTGAATGACATGAGCCTCGTTTTCATTTTAAACTGGCGATTAGATTAAATCAAGGCCATTTTATTTAATCAACTCAGTTATTAGTGGGCGATAAGCAGGAAGTGACCCATCACGGAGACTTAATGTGTCAACCAATAAGTGAGACAATATCAAGCTTATCAAATTCCATATTACCATTATCTTCCCGTTGAAGAGTTCCTTTGGATTTATCTAGCTTCTTTTCTTTTTGTTCCTATATTCGATTTGACGAGTTTCTTCATTTCTTTTTGTTGATTTTTAAGCACAAATTCAGATTATTACTCCAAGATGGCGTGAAATGGAGTCAAAGACCAAAGAGGACGACAGAAAAACTGAAGTGAATGTCAAATTATGAAAGATATGCGTGTCTTATATATCCAGACGTTGACTACGATACATGCCACCACCAGCTTTTGCCAGCGGACAAGGCATTGTTATTATATATATTTATGGTAATATATATATATATATATATATGTATGGTTGGGGCGCACCCACCTTCTCATCAGAATGGACTGATCTCTCTACTACTAATAGGACAGTTCTATAGAGTTCTGGGAAGATCAGGTGACCATCACACTTCCGTCTCTCTACCGGAAGATACAGTTGGACGTTATACTCTTTCTGATTCTTACTAACCTGCGTTCGTTTGACTACTAATCTCTCTGTTGTAAATACCTCGTCAGATATACCAGTATTTTCCCTACGTATATGTTTGTCTTTATTTCAATACACGCACGCGGAAACACTCAACATCTCAACATATATATATATGTGTGTGTGTGTGTGTGTATTAGATAAATAGATGTGAAATCAATGAGGTAGATAGATAAATAGATAGATAGAAAAACGAACTTAGATATGAAATGTATGAAATAGATAGATAATGAACAGATTGAACATATATATATATATATATATATATATATATATATATATATATATATCTCTGTCACAGGAAAGAAATTACATCAATTTTTGATTATGAAATAACCCTGGCACCACCAACAGTTTGGTCACCGGACATGGTTTTGTTGTTGTATAGGTATCAATTTCTCTCTCTCTCTCTCTCTATATATATATATTAGATAAATAGATATGAAATCACTGAGATAGATAGATAGATAGATAGATAGATAGATAGATAGATAGATAGATAGATATGTAATGGTTGAGATAGATAGATAGATAGATAGATAGATAGATAGATAGATAGATAGATAGATAGATATGTAATGGGTGAGATAGATAGATAGATAGATATAGATAGATAGATAGATAATAGATGAATAGATAATGAACATGAAATCATATATATAATGAATATATATATATATATATATATTTCGTCTGTCACAGGAAAGAAAGAAAGAAAGAAAGAAAGAAAGAAAATGAATTAATAAATACGCATTAAGGAAAAGAAAGGGAGAACGAATGAATGAAAAGAGCAAGGAAACAAGAAAGAAAGAAAGAAAGAAAGAAAGAAAGAAAGAAAGAAGCAGAGAAAAAATATAAATTACCAAAGAACGAAAGAAAAAAGTACCTATTCAAAGTAGTTGGAAAGAAAGAGAGAAGATGAATGAAGTAATAAATAAGTTAATAAGTAAGTTTTAAGTATGAAATGACTGGCTGACTGAGATAACGAACAGATTGATATATATATATATATATATATATATATATATATATATATATATATATATATAAATATAAAAGCAAAGAACACTAAGATATAAAACCCGGTGTTCTTATAGATATTTTATTTTTACAAAATAGTGCTCAATGTAAATTTACAGAGCATTAATATAAAAATTAATTGATTTAAAATATGTTTTTTTTCGCTACACAGTTCCAACCAAGCATTAGTTCCATTTCATCTTCAAGCGAATTTTTTTAATTTAATTGCAAAATTAAATTCAGGGTTTTTTAACTTCTATTTTTGAAACATGGTTGGAACTGTGTGCGAAAAAAAAACATATTTTAAATTTATTAATTTATAATATATATATATATATATATATATATATATATATATATATATATATATATATATATATATATAGCCTATCACAGGAAAAAATTACATCTATTTTAAAATTTGAAATAACTTTGAAATAAACAGAGTTATATTTTGACACAGTTTTATTCAACTGAGAATGTACCTTTTGAGAGCCTCCTAAAAACTGATTTGTTGAAAGCCAGTACAGTTCGACTGCAAAAAAAAAAAAAACCCGTAATTTTATCGATGTGGATTAGACCGTAAATTTGCACCGACAGAAACGTCGCGCCTGCTGAAGGTTATGCACCTTAAAACCAAAGAATGGAAAACAACGCGTTCATTTAAGTAAATAAATCTGTTTGTTTTTCGAATGTAATGCATTGTTCTGTTAAATAACGTTACAAGCCGTGGTGACATTTTTTATAATTTCATTAAAATTGTTAGTCTGCAGACAAGCTGCTTTCTGGTGGAATTTACTCAAAAGTGAAATATTTCAATAGTACGATGGAAAAGCTTAAATATTTTCACGTCGCGATAGAAAACAATTTTTCTTTTGGTGAATAAAACAAATAGGCTCAAAAGAACATATATATATATATATATATATATATATATATATATATATATATATATATATATATATATAACAGTTATTAAAAAGTATGTGCTACTTTAAGAGTCATAAAGTGTATGTATGCGCATTTTAAACTTACATCAATAGTAATGGTAGCCATGTTGAATCGTATTTACCATAAAAACAATATTTGTCATAGCAAATGGCGGACAATGCGTACTTTATTTAAATACATGTTTGTTTGGCAAATGTAATGCATTGGTCTGTTAAAGTTACAAGCCGGAGTTCGACACATTCTGTTTTCATTAGCCTTATTCAGCGTCCGTATTGCTTTTTAATAGCCTTTACTGTACCGTTTCAATATGACGAATTATTTTAGATTTTTAGCTATATATAAAAACAGTTATCTGTGCCGAACAGAACAAACAGCTTTCAGACATATTTAATCTTACGAGCTTTATTTAATTTCAAAAATGGATGTACTATTCAAGAGATCACACGCATATATATATATATATATTTATATATATATATATATATATATATATATATATATATATGAAGAAAAATATATACAGAAAAAAAAAAAACAAAAATCCTTATATACGATTATGCTGTTTTAATGTTAATATGTCAACATCTGATGTTTCGGTCTAATAAACCATCTTCAGGACATATTCATAAATATAACATTATCAATACAACATGACAAAGACGATGTACATTAGAACAAAACTTATCCAAACAAATAACTGAAAGTTTTATAATATCAGCGCTCCGTTTAAAACATGGTCACGTTGTCATCACGTGGGCGACGCTGTGAAAACGTATTCCTACAATTTTGAGTATTTTTAATGAAAAATGAAAAGAATTCTATTTTGAACTAAAATTTTTTAGTGTTGTATCATGTTGTATTGATAATATTATATTTATGAATATGTCCTGAAGATGGTTTATTAGACCGAAACGTCCGACATATTAACATTAAAACAGCATAATCGTATATAAAGATTTTTGTTTTGTTTTTTTCCGTATATATTTTTCTTCATACTGTCGGATCTATATCCATATATATATATATATATATATATATATATATATATATATATATATATATATATATATATATATATATATATCAACATGTAAAAAAAGATTAAAAATAAAGGAAGCCCTTATATTAAGAACGAAAAAGCCAACACTCCATAACATTAAATATGAACACGGCCAAATGTGCTGACAATGTTTGGAAAAGAAATATTCCCTATAACTCTAGATACATACACATAACCCAAATTTTCAGTTAGAAAATTAAAAATAAAATCACCCTTCATCATGGCTAAAAGTATGGCCGAAACCGCTTGGAAATGCTGAATATTTGGAAAGATTTTACATTCTTTGTGTCCAGAAAAGAAAACACTTGTACGAACACAAGGAAAAGTACTTTGTCATTCGTCTTTAACGAAACATGTATAAAAGAGGAATTGCTGCCTAAATACACAAAACGTGTGTGTGTGTGTGTGTGTGTGTGTGTGTGTGTGTGTACCCGTGCCTGGTGTGTGCGTATATTTAATTACAGTACGCGTTGTACCCAGTCTGTTCACGAATCAGCTATGGGTTAAATAATTGGACATTGCTACTTCCATGTAATGCAATATTCCTTCGCAAAAATGAAAATTACTATTCTTACAATCCAAAATATGTTTCAGTCTTAAATAACCCACAAAGTGTTGATAACCTGTAAAAAAAAACAAAAATGAAAAAGAAAAAAATATGCTCTCATAATGCAGTGGCAAGTACTCTAAAGATCGATTAAAATTGACAGTCAACAAGCAAAGTTGATACCTAAGTCCACAGTGTCTTCATCTCTAAATGCTATTTCTCGAACACTGAGCACGCTTCTTCTATAAATATAACACATTTTACGATATATCGACTATATATAAATTAATTATTTATTACAAAATCTTTAAAACAACTGCATAATCTTTAAGCATAACACACACATGCAAAATCAAAACTAAAACAACCGACATTATTTACGAATTCAAATGCCCCTTAAAAACTATGTTCCTGATCAAACCAAACTCATAAATAATTAAATCGGTCACACTACGACATGCCTATCCAGACGACTTACCTTAAACCTATATGAACACAGCTCCATGAGAACGCATTCAAAAACATATACAAACTTACCAAACTACACCCGAAACATACTAGTAGAAAATACGATCATAACTTCATCCACATGTAAAAAACGATTAAAAATAATGGAAGCCTTTATAATAAAAAAAGAAAAAAAACAACACTCAATAACATTAAATATGAACACGGCCACAATGTGCTGACCGTGTTTGGAAAGTAAAACATCCCTATAACTCTAGATACATAAACACAACCCAGACATTCAGTTAAAAAATTTAAAAATCATCCTTGATAATGGCTAAAAGCGCTCGAAATGCAGAACATTTGTAAAGTTTTTACATACTTTGTGTCCAGAAAAGTAAACACTTGCAAGAACCCAAGAAAAATTAAATTAAATTACAAGTTTAATCGCAGTAACATGTCAAAAGACTTTAACGAAACATGTATTGAAGTGGGATTGCTGATTAAATACACAGTATATATATATATATATATATATATATATATATATAAAATATATATATATATATATATATATATATATATATATTTATATATATATATATATATATATATATATATATATATATATATATATATATATATATATATATATATATAATATATATATATATATATATATATATATATATATATATATATATATATATATATATATATATATATATATATATATATATGATATTGTCCTTTTGTTCTTTTCAATTTGCTTTTACTTTTGGGCCACATGTTTTTTTTTTTTTTTTTTCGTTTAAGTAAACGTCCGCCTGAACGAACGGTTGATCTTCTCCCTCTGCCCGGGGATTTGTTTGAAGTTTCTTCAATTCTTATTATTTTATTTATTCTGGCTCCCGATTTTCGCTGCCTCGTTTGGTTTCACTTTGTTTGCTTCGCATCTAAATACGGGCATTACAAACTCCATTCTCTTTTCTTCTGTAAACACTTGCATTTGTTCATTTCTTGTGTCGTCTGTTTTCTTTTTTCTTTCTTAAAACGGAATTTCATTTTTTTTTTTTTTTAAGTGAGGACTTTTCATTCGTCACTTACTTTCTAGTTATGTTTTTTCATCTCTCTCTCTCTCTCTCTCTCTCTCTCTCTCTCTCTCTCTCTCTCTCTCTCTCTCTCTCAGAAATATTTTAAAGTTTCTTTGTTTTTCTATTTTATTTAGTTAATCGTTTCTTCTAAAAAAAAATTCTTCCGTTGTCGTTATTTCACCATAAGTAAGTGGTATCAAATATCTTTTTTTTCTCTTTCGTTTTCTGCAGTCTTTCCTTCTTTCTTTCTTTTCTTTCTATTTTCACCTTTTTTTCCTTTATTTAATTCTTTCTTTTCCTTCATTTTTTTCTTTCTTGATTGCTTGTTTTTTTTCTTCGTTTTTCATTGTTTCTTTCTTTTTTTTCCTTTTTGCATCTTCATTTTCTTTCTTTCTTTCTTTCTTTTTTGCTTCTTTGTTTCTTCATTTTACATTTTTTTCTTTCTTTTTTTCTTTTTACGCGTTTCTTAATTCATTTTCTTACTTTCTTTCACTTTTTCTTTCATTCTTTCTTTATCTCCCACTTCCTTTCTTTCTTGCATTCTTTCTTTTTTCTTTCAACCTGATTGCGTCTTTTATTTTCTGCAACGACAGAGAATAATTTAATATTTTGTAAAATTTTACGCACTTCATTCACCGTCTCTCTTCATTTCCAACTACATCGAATAAGTTCTTTTTTCTTTCGTCCTTTGGTTTATTTTTCTTTCTTTCTCTCCTTCATTCTTCCTTTCTTTCTCTTTACATTCATTCTTTCTTTCTTTCTTTTCCTTTATGCGTATTTCTTAATTTATTTTGTTTATTTATTTTTCTTTCTCTCTTCCATTCTTGCTTTTTTCTTTGTCGTTTTTCCCTTTTTAATTGTTTGTTTCATTCTTTTACTTTCTACGTCTTTCTTCATTCATTTCCTTTCTTTCTTTTTTTCCATTTTGTTTTTTTCTTGCTTCCGACGTCTAAGAAAAATTTAATATTTTGTAATTTTTCCATAATTGCTTCACCTTCTTCTTTCTTTTCAAATATATTAAATATAATTCTTTCTTTTTTTTTCGTTTTTTCTATCTTTCTTCGTTTCTTTTGTTATTTCTCTGTTTCTTTTTCTTTGTTTCTTTCTTCCTTTTTCCTTCATTCTTTCTTAATTTGTTTTCTTTCTTTCTTTCTTTCTTTCTTTCTTGCTTGCTTGTTTTTCTTCGTTGTTTTTCCTTTTTCTTTTTACTGATTTTATTTCTCCGTCTTTCTTAATACATTTTCTTTCTTTCTTTCTTTCTTTCTTTCTTTCTGTCTTCTTGCTTTTTTCTTTGTTGTGTCTTCCTTTCTTGTTAGTTCTTTATTTCTTTTCCGTTTTGTGTTTTTCCTAATCCGTTCCTTTTTTTCCTTTCATTCTTTTCCTTTTCTTTCCGCGTCTTTGCTTGTATTTTGTTTGTTTGTTTGTTTCTTTCTTTCTTTTTTTTTCTTTCTTTTCAACCTGATCGCATTTTATATTTTATTCAGCAACTAAGAATAACTTAATATTTTATAATCTGTCCTTACCTTTTCCCTTTCTTTTCAACTGCAACCGAATATGTTCTTTCTTTCTTTCTTTCTTTCTTTCTTTCTTTCTTTCTTTCTTTCTTAACCTTTGATATGCAGCATTTATTTTAATTTGTGAACATAGGTAAATTAACCTCCAAAAACAAACGCCCTGCCTTTAATTCTGTTTGCTCAACAAAACGAAATTCTTTGCTCGAATGCACAAAACACAAGGCGATCTGCGCATTTTCTGTTCGACAATTTAACATCAAACTTATTTCTTGCCTAGAAGCAAAACAAAATATTTAAACATGGTAAATAAAGAAGCTGCCAAAACATTCAGGAGAAAAATTTAAAAAAAAATAACAGAGAAAACGGGCTCCGTATATATATATATATATATATATATATAAAGGATGTACGAAAACATACTCTTGAACGTAAATCTCGTCTCGATTGAAAAAATTAAGCGAATATATGGAGGAAGATAACTCCGCAGACTGACATGTACTTCTTCGTTGAATTCTGATCTGAAATTTTCACTGTATAATATTCAATCTATGTGAGAAATATTCACCTGAATAAATTAAGTGCATTGACAATGGAGGAGATTATGTTGAAAAATAAATACTTTTCAGATCTATTGCTCGTAGCATTTTCTCTTGGCTTTTCTGTGTCTTTTTGTGTATATTTTCCTAAAGATATGAAAAAGCTGTCGGACAATGAACCGATAAACATAGACATCAAGACATTACCCTGAACTTACACTTCTTTACTACTTAAAAACGTTGTTATAGTGGATACTCGAATTTGAAATGGACGCCCATATTTTTTTAATTTGATTAATTCGTTTTCTAGGGCTTATCAGCATTTTAAGGTTACTTGAGGCTAGAAAATATTTTTAGACTGTAGGACTTTTTTTCTTGGAGATATTAAGGTTTTAATGAGACAAGTCTTACTAATTAACCCATAGATGTGGGGAAAGGAGGCTGGGATCATACCATTAACGACGTTTTTTGCGCGCGCGTAAGGGAACATAACGAACCCAACTGGATTTCGAACTCGGCACTCCGATTAAGATTTTCGAGCCTGTACCCATTACATAATCCACTGATACAAGTTTACTGCACCTTGTAATCCCAAGCGGTCACCCACGTAGATACTAACCAGGATCGATGTTGCTTAAGCCCAATTTTTTATTCGTTAAACAGTGTTTATTACGTAAATAAAAATCTGGAGTCTATTTAAATTGAACCCATAAATGTTTTAGAATATACACTTATTTGTGCAATGGGGAAGTGCTGTCAGTGAAACTAGTATCTATGCACTGGGATAATATTTTTGTCTGACACCTGATAATGATATATATATATATATATATATATATATATATATATATATATATATATATGTGTGTGTGTGTGTGTATAAATAAAACTAAATTTTAAAAGTTCTCCAAAATTCGCTTGAAGATGAAATGGAACTAATGCTTTTAATTTATTTGCAAAAAATAAAATTAAGAATTTTATTCATTTTTGAAACAAAAAAAAATAAAATCAATTAATTTATAATATATATATATATATATATATATATATATTTTTCGATTATACATCTTCATGAATCATTCATACAAAAAAACAAATATATACTTTAATGGCGAGAATACATCTTCGCAAACAATTTCATTAAGTTACACTAACCCCGAACCTGTATATAAATGATATGATCCCTGTTCAACTTATTTCTATTTTATATTAAATTTATGTCCATACCTGAGGATGTCTGTAGGAACAGACGAAAGCTTGTAAAAACTAAAAAAGACCTTATGAAACTGGAATTTATAAACAGGGATCATATACATATTCGGGGTTAGTGTAATTTATTGAAATTGTTTGCGAAGATGTATTCTCGCCATTTAAATCATTAACCTCTATATTTGTTTTTGGTATGAATGATTCATGTAATATATTCCTTGAAATCAATTGCTCGATAGTAAATTCCTCGAAATCAATTGCTCGATGTTAAATTGCTCGAAATCAGCTGCTCGAAAAATAATTTCTCGAACTATCAATTGCTCGAAAGGCAGATTGCTCGAAGCCACAACACTCAACTTTAGCAGCCAGTCTTCAAGGATTTTCTCTCTTGGCTGGCTCAACACACGGTGGCAAGGCTACAATCTGTACGTGTGGTTCACCCATTTGTTTTTTGTTTTTTTTTATATTTGTTTTCTATTTCTATTTCAGTAATTTTGGAGATCTCGAACCCTAGCGATGTCCATAACTTTTGTTGAGAGCGAAAAAGGAAAAAAAAGAAGTTGTGTTTGGATGGATATATATATATATATATATATATATATATATATATATATATATATATATATTAGGACAAAACAGTGAACAATAAGATTTACTGGAAATGTGAAATGTGTAGAAAACAAGAATTGCGAATAGTGGGTGGAGTGAGTGCAGCTGAGGGCAGAAAGAATTAACGTGACTCTGCAATGCGATTAAAGAATATTGTATCAAGATATGACACAACAAACAATGTTGAAGAATTTTTAAGAAGTGTTGTGTATAATATTTCATACTAATAGAGTAAATATTAGCAACAAGTTATATTTTTTTAAATCACAAAGAATAATAGCAACAAATGTACCCTTTATTTTAAACTATGACAAAAATAGCAACAATTTTAACTGTTCAGTTAACAACAATAAAGTTGTTTTATTTTATCTTATAGTAAATATTAGAAACGATGTAGTTTTATTTTTTTTTAACCACGGGTTTCGTGTAATCTTATTTCCGAGCAATAATAATTTCTATCAAGTTCAAGAAATTATTTCCGAAAAATTGATTTCGAGCAATTTACTGTCGATCAATTGATTTCGAGCAATTTACCGAATACCAAACAGGTCTAGGAGAAACTAACTCTGAATATAAAACTGTATGTAGCATTGGCTCGACGATTCATGATAACGAAGCAATTTTTTTTTTTTTTTGAGTAAATAATGTTATCGAGTCGAGATAGATAAACAGCGTTCGAGGAATAATTTTCGTAGCATTGGGGGACGAAATTATCCTACAGGAAGTCTCAACTTTGCATTCTGGTTGGTTTTAGACAATTTTTAAAATGCATATTTTATGCTGTCAAATACGGTATATAAAAAGGCTATGATATCGTGAGGTATTGCTGTCGTGCTATAGTTTTCTATTAATAATATTTCAGAAGGGAAACCATGTCTAATTCCGAGGTCATCCACTGATGACAGGTTTGTGGGAGAGCCTTTTACTGTTATCGCTGTAGTAGTTGTATATTATCAAGACACCGTTTCTTTTGGCATTTCTTTGACTCAGTGACCTGTAAAATGCTAGTGCCCGGTTGTGGTAACATTAATAACGAACTGGAACCAATGAAATCGCAAAAGATGGAAGCCAGAATCGACGGGTCGCATGCAGGCGAGAGGGTTTGGAGGGGGCGTCGGTTGCTACGAAGGAAATAGAATTTATGTTTGTAGAAACATTGAGACAGGTGAAGTCGACGGTCGGTGAAAGAGAGAAAAGGGTCTTCGCGTTGGTGGTGTCATTGAAACTATATGAGTGGGTGATTGTGTGGTGATAGTGTCTGGTTGATGGTCTATGCAATATTCAGACAATCATAAAAGAAGACATGGAAGGAGAGGGAAAAAAAGTTAAAGAAAGAGAAATTAAAAAGAGGAAGAGGAAGGAAATATGTGAGGAAAGAAAGAAATAACTAAGAAAAGAAGAGAGAAAAAAGAAATTAATAGAAAACGAACGAGAGACAAATGAAATGCAAAGAAAGAAAGAAAGAAAGAAAGAAAGAATGTCATAGAAAGAAAAAAGAAAGATAGAAAGAAAGAGAAAGAAAAGAATGTCAAGGGAAGAATAAAGAAAGAAGAAAACAAAGAAAGAAATAATGTCAAAGAAAGAAAGAAAGAAAGAAAGAAAGAATGTCATAGAAAGAAAAAAAGAAAGATAGAAAGGAAGAGAAAGAAAAGAAAAAAGGGAAGAATAAAGAAAGAAGAAAAGAAAGAAAGAAAGAAAGATACAAAGAAAGAAATAATGTCAAAGAAAGAAAGAAAGAAAGAAAGAAAGAATGTCATGGAAAGAAAGAAAGAAAAAATGAAAGAAAGAAAGAAAGAATGTCATAGAAAGAAAGAAAGAAAGAAAGAAAGAAAGAAAGAAAGAAAGAAAGAAAAGAATGTCGAGGGAAGAATAAAGAAAGAAAGAATGTCATAGAAAGAATGTCATAGAAAGAAAGAAAGAAAGAAAGAAAAGAATATCACAGAAAGAAAGAAAGAGAGAAAGAAAGAAAGAAAGAAAGAAAGAAAGAATGTCAAGGGAAGAATAGAGAAAGAAAAAAGGAAGAAAGAATGTCATAGAAAGAAAGAAAGAAAGAAAGAAAGAAAAGAATATCATAGAAAGAAAGAAAGAAAGAAAGAAAGAAAGTAAGAATAGAATAAGAAAAAAAAAAAAAAGAATGTCATAGAAAGAAAGAAAGAAAGAAAGAAAGAAAGAAAGAATGAATGACAAGGAAAGAAAGAAGGAAAGAAGGAAAAAATATTGTCAATGAAAGAAAAAAGAAGGAAAGAAATAAATAAAGAAAGAAAGAATGGCAAAGAAAGAAAGAAAGAAAGAAAGGACAAAAAAGTAAATGCAAAAAGCAGAACGAAAATGTCACCCGCCCCGACAAAAAAGAAAAAAAAAATTAAAAAATACAGAAATTAATTTGAAAGATAAAATATGAATACGAAAAAGAAAAAATGAGAAAGCCTGAATGAGAGAAAAATAAATTAAAAAATTTGGAAAAAAAAGCAAACAGAAATGAAAGCTGAAAATTTGAAAATGTATATAAAAGAAAAATGCAAAGAAATAAATGAGAATGAAAGAAAAGATGAAAGAAAGCAATCAAACTTTACAACGATATAAATTATAATGAATAAGAAAAGCGAATGATTACGAAAAAATAAGGCAAAAGAAAGTTAATTAAATGACATAATGGAAATGAATGAGAAAGTGAAAGAAATGAGAAAGAATGAAAATTAGAAAAGAAAGAAAAAAGAATGAAAAATGATATGCTTTAGAGTGAAAGGAATAAACCAATGAATTTGAAATATTGAAAAAGAGGCAAACGGCAAAGAAAGAAAGAAAGAAAGAAAGAATGAATGAATGAATGAATGAAAAAGAATCCCAAAGAGAGGAAGAAGGAAAGAAAGAGTGACAAAGAATGAAAGAAAGAATAGCAAATAAAAAAAAAGATTGGCAAAGAAAGAAAGGAAGAAAATACAATAAATAAATGAACAATAAAATATGATTTTGTAAGAAATTGATGAAAAAAAAAGTAAGAAAAGCGAACGAAAGAAACAGAAATTCAATAAAAGGAAGAAGGAGAAACAGAAAGAAAGAAAGAATGAAACTGAACAAGAAAGAAAGAAAGAAAGAAAGAAAGAAAGAAAGAAAGAAAGAAAGAAAGAAAAATCCGTTACGAAAAATAAATGAACAAAAGAAAGAAGAAAGAAAGAAAGTGGAGCAGAAAGAGATAATAGATGAATGAATGAATGAATGAATGAAATTATTCAGGAGGAAAGAGGGAAAGAAAGGGTTAAGGTGTAGGAGATAATCCTTCCCGAAAAATAAATGAATAAATTGAAGAAAGAAAGAGAGATGTGGAAGAGAAAAAAGAAATTAAGAAAGAATAACAAAGAAAGAAAGAAGAAAGAAAGAAAGAAAAAAGAACAAATGAATAAATGAATGAACGAATAAATGAATGAATGAAAGCGAGTGAGAATGAAACAGTCACGAAAAATAAATGAAAAAAGGAAGAAATAAAAAAAGCAGACTAGAAAAATAGAATGAGTGAGCAAATGAATGGGACCAGAAACAAAATGAATGAATGAATGAAAATGAGTATGAGAATGAAGCGGTGTCGAAAAATGAATGAATAAAGAAAGAATGAAAAATAGGAATGAGTGAGCAAATGAAACGGATCAGAAACAGAAAGAAAGAAAGAAGGAAAGTAGGAAGGAAAGAAGAAAGAATGAAACGAAGGAATGAAAGATTGAATGAAAGCGAGTGTGAGAACGAAGCTGTCATGAAAAATAAATGAATAAAGAAAAGAAGGAAAAAGAAGGCCAGAAAGAAAGAATGAAAAATAGGAATGAGTGAGCGAATGAAACGGATCAGAAAAAGAAAGAAAGAAAGAAAGAAAGAAAGAAAGAAAGAAAGAAAAAGGATAAATGAATGAATTAATGAATGAATGAAAGCGAGCATGAGAAGCGGTCACGAAAAATAAATGAAAAAGGAAGAAAGAAAAAAGCAGACCAGAAAAAAAGAATGAAAAATAGAATGTGATCAAATGAAACCGGCCAGGAACAGAAAGAAAGAAAGAAAGAAAGAAAGAAGGAAGGAAGGAAGGAAGGAAGGAAGGGAAGGAAGGAAGGAAGGAAGGAAGGAAAGAAGAAAGAATAAAAGAAAAAGAATTAATGAATGAATTAATGAATGAATGAAAGCGACCATGAGAAACGGTCACGAAAAATAATGAAAAAGGAAGAAAGAAGCAAGTAGCTCAGAAAAAAAATGAATGAAAAATGGAATGTGATCAAATGAAACCGGCCAGGAATAGAAAGAAAGAAAGAAAGAAAGAAAGAAAAGAAAGAAAGAATGAATGAAAGAAAGAAAGAAAAAAAGAAGGAAGGAAAGAAGAAAGAATGAAAGAAAAAGAACAAATGAATGAATTAATGGATGAATGAAAGCGAGCATGAGAAGCGGTCACGAAAAATAAATGAAAAAGAAAGACAGAAAAAAGCAGACCAGAAAAAAAGAATGAAAAATTGAATGTGATCAAATGAAACTGGCCAAATACAGAAAGAAAGAAAGAAAGAACGAACGAAAGAAAGAAAGAAACAAAGAAAGAAAGAAAAAAAGAAAGACAGAAAGAAAGATAAGAAGAAGATATGGAGAAAAGAAACTGTCAAGTAAAAACGAAACATGAATGAATAAATAAAAGAAAGAATTAAAGAAAGAAAGAGCGTGGGAACTAAAGTAAACTGGAATGCAAGAGAAATAAATTAAGCGGGAAATGAATGAATTAATGAATGAATGTATGAATGAAAGAGGAAAGATGATGAGAAAAAAGAGAGGGTGTATAAATGGAACTCAGCGAAGAGAAAACCGCATCCCAAAATGAGTGAAAAGCCCCAGTCTATTAACAGACCACGAACCCTGCACACTACGGTAGCGCAACCCCATCCCTTGCGGGTATTGAGGGTTCAATTTTTGCAAGCGTGGTTTATGTGCACAATACCTGTCAGATGCAATTCGTAACGGGAATTCACCGACTGGGAGTTGGAGTGTGGGGAGCTAGTGTCAGTGGCAGTGCTTAATGGGTGCATGGTAGGGCGATACTGAAAACGTTTCTGAAAACGAGGCGAATCTCATCATATGCACTGGCGCGCTTGGACACACGTCTCATTCGTTTCGCACCGCTACGAGACCCTGGTAATCGCCCCCATTCCCGTCTTCGGCTAAGCCCGGAATGTGCTGGCTGCCCTCACTGACATCCTCCATTTTTGTTGAAGGTCTTTCCCAAATCCCCACCACATACATGTCACACGTCTCATCGCTTTTCGAAAGGTCAACGTAATCCGTTTTCGCCTCCAAATATAGTGCAGTTTATTATGGTAAGCTCGTCCGACAGTGGAGGTATTGACCGGTCACTTGTTGCACAGCCTACTTCTATATAGCGTGTCGCTTCAGAACGCAGGCGATCATGACTCTTCACGACTTCCTATCCCTTTCGCTCATTGTTCCGAAGCGTTTTCCTCTTGTTTATAATAAATCCTGTGAGTGTCAATTTTTCCATGCCTTAATTTTCTTCTGGGATTTTTTTCTGTTCACTAATGTTGACCCAATACAAGGCTCAAGGGCCACTCGAGGTAGAGGGTTAATGTGTAGAGTTAGCGTAAGAAAGGGCAGAATAACAGGAAAGATAGGCAGATAATTCTAGACTAGAAGAGGTCAAGATTTAATTAGCGAATAAAATTTCAGAGCTCAGCCGGAGACGTCAGGAGTATATAGTTTAAGTAGATTTTATGAAGAACCGGAAATTTAAAACAGGAAACAAAGATATAAACCCCTACTCCTGTTCAAAAGACCGGGGAGGAGTATAAACTGGAAGATATACATTTACATCTTTAATGTATTAGACATCCGACAACATTCATATTTCTCTCACTTAAACCGTCTTTAACTCACCTCTCTAAAACTTCTCTCTGTTAAGTTTTAATCTCCCACCTTCTCTCGTCTGTTACCCCTCTCATTAGCTCTAACATTCGTCCCACACTCTCATACTTACACTCTCTCTAAATTCTATTTTTTATTTCCGGAGTTGTTTTTTCTGTTTTCTTTTTGAATTTGTAGGTCGGATGAATGGGATCCTATTTACGATTACAATGGAATAAATTATGACCATGGAATATTAGTGTTTAAGCCTCCTTATTTTATATATATATATATATATATATATATATATATATATATGCTGTTATTTTTTCTCGGCTATTTATATATATACGGGTCAGTGGTGCATTGTGGGTAGTCTATTTTGGCGGTTATTTTACCGGAAGTCGTTTGTTTTTTTTTTAATTTATTTATTCATTTGGATTAAATTATGTTGCCTGTCATTATTTTTTTTTATTTTTTATTTCTAATCATGTATATTTATTTTTTTTTATTTTAATCGGTGTTTTTATTAACGTAGTAAAAATTTGTTTATATCGCTTATTTAATCGTTTTGTTTTGATTTAGTTTATTCTAACTATTATTTTGGCGGGAACACACACACACACACACATACACACACACACACACACACACACATATATATATATATATCGGTCTTGTTTGTTTTCTTTACATCTTCGGTTGGATTCAACTTGAGTCCGCCATTTTTCTTGTAGTCGGACCTTCTTCTAGCAGGAATAAGCAGCATGTGTCCCTAATTCAGCAACACGTAACCCCACACGGTCCTCTACAATAGATTGTGCTTTTTTAAAGAACCTATGGAGAGCCATGCTCCTTTATGCCCTGAAAGGTTTATTTAATGATATAACGAAAATTAGTGGATTATTTAATGACTTGATTCAAAATCAAATATCTCAAATACTGAGTCAAAAGCATATAATGGCACAGTTTATATTTAAATTAATACATAAATATTGATAACTAGTATAGAAGCTGTCCTGTCAGACTTTAGGCTAGCTTCTGCGGAGTGATTTTGCAACATCACCTTCAACGTCCTATGTATGTAAAAGTTATAAGAAATTTGAAAAATAAAAATTCAATATCATTATTTGAAACCTTAATTCGGCATAATCTTTCTTCGTATACGCAACCAATCTCCATAGTTTGTTTACATTTATTTTACACGCAATTTTTATTTTCTTTTAAAATTACCATTCTTTATGATCGCTTCAAATCAAGTCACTCTTAAAAGATATTAGGGAACTCGTACTATGTAATATTTCAAATACGTCACAGTACACGTGCTAGAAAAAAGGAAAAAAAGACATGAGCAACGTACCGTGCCCCGCTTAAGGTTTAATTATGTTTTAATTAGATGATATCCACTGGAACTTCGACGAAAACGAAATTAAAGTTAAACCTTTAATAGGGAATTGTTCTGTAAACCTCTCTTCGGTATTTCAATTTAACTTTAAATGAGTTATTTATTTAATTTTTAATCGTGTGTAACTACAGTCGTCACTACCCGTGGATTTAAACCAAAAATATGATATTTTAAAATTAACATTTAATTCATAAAGATTCATAATCTATCCATCTAGCAGATATTCAAATTTCACTGTAAATTTAGAACAACACAGGTGCATGCGTGGCTGGTGTGTACGGTGAAGAGAAGTACCACAAATATGGTACCACGCCCTGGCACACAGGATAGAATTGTAACGTCAATGATGACTGGCCTTAGAATGAGTAAAGACATCATATCCTCATATTTAGTACAGGTAATCTGAAAATGACGCCGAAATAGAACATATCTAAAAAAAAAAAAAAAAATAGGACGGACATTCGCCAGTCCTTCGCACAGTCAAAAAAAATTAAAAAAACTTGCCGGTACGCCACGTTAGTTTGAGAAGTACTTGTCTAGTATACGTAGACTGAATGCTCTGTAAGACCTATCAAAAAACGTGGAGGGAAGCAACATACAGGTGGATGCTTCCGAACTCAATTATAAAGTTGACTAATATTTACGTATCAACGCAAGTATATACATCTATATGAATAAAGCGCAGTGTACGTGTGTCCGTCCGTCCGTCCGTCCGTCTTTCGATCTCGGCCGATCATAAACTAGCTGAAGTAACAGCTAGTAACTACCTTAGTCACACTTGATTAAAAATTAAATAAATAACTCATTTAAAGTCCAATTTAAATATCGAAGAGGGCGAAATGTTTTTGTTTTTTTTTAAAAAAAAACAATTCTTTATTAAAGGTTTAACTTTAATTTCGCTTTTCGTCGAAATTGCAATTGATATCGTCTAATTAAACCGTAATTAATTTTTTTCTATTTCACTGAATCAGTTGTTAAACACTTCTATATTTCTTTCTTAAAAGCAACCATATGAAATCCAACAGATCACATTGAAAAATATACAATACAATGCTTTCGCCTTACTGCCTAAAAATATCTTATATTCAATGGTCAAATCTGATGAATTGGAAGTGAGGGAAAAGCTATAAAAAGAATTTGGCCATTAGGTTAGTAAATATTTATTCATATAAAATTGACTAAATTAGTTTTACCGATTTATGGAATCATTTTAAGGATTTTATCTAATTTCACCATAAATATTAAAGCAGTACAGAGTGCATTTTTTTAGAAATAAATCAAATTAATTTTTATATTCTTTCAAGAGTGGGGAGCAAACCAAGAAAAAATTAAAAAGAATCACAACTATCAAATTTAAAGCTATGCACTGGAGACAGTTAAAAGATCTGTCATTAAATGGAGTTTGTGAACCACCACTCACAGAAGAATTTTCTGAAAATGAACTTCGGGAATAATTATTAAATGGTACGAAACTTGACTTGCCAGCTTTGCCCTCACATTCTCAAGGCATGGAACGGGCAGTCAAGTTAACGACAGAAGCTTCCCAATCTGTGTATGGCTTTGAAGCAAGGCACCAGCACATAATAGCAAAAGCTTTGTGTCAGAAATTGTGACCATCAATTTCATCTGAGGGTTCATATATGGAGCTATTTGACTCTGTATATTAAGCCCTATTAAACTATTCCTTATTTTTTCATATTTGTTTGTTTGCTGTATTTTCATTCAAAATAGAAAAAAAACAATTTTTTTAATGTATTCAACTAATACTGCTTAATTCATGAGGCAAAAAACAGCATTTCAAAATCGTCAGTGATAATAGGGGAGGGGCAAATTTTCAATTTGAAGTTTACTTATAATTTCTACATTTTATTTAATTTAGATAAAACAAAATAACAACATTCCCTGATTTAAATAGTGAAATTGTTTTTTTTTTTTATCAATATTTAGTCTAAATCTTGCAAAATCGTGCATTTTTCAGTGCATTTTTCTCTACGATCTTTGATGCCAAATGCTCAAAAAACCGTTGAAGTGTCAGATCTAATTTTTTGTATCAGTACTTAACTGGTCTATACACAACTTTCCGTACATTATTCTTTAGATATTTTTAAAAAAAGTCAAAGATCGACCTACCTAATATATATATATATATATATATATATATATATATATATATATATATATATATATATATATATATTTTTATAAAAGATTTATAACATAAGTATGTTATAAAATCACTACAAAAATAGCCATTTTGTTTCAACACACTCTGTGTCTTATTAAGTGATGATGTTGAAAAGAAAATAAATGGTTTTAAAAGTTTCAGATTAATTAACGATCCT